AAGTAGTTTGTGAACTTCATTGAAGACCCAAATGTGACATCTCTGGAAGAAGCATGCGTATCTTTTTTTTTTCCAAATGATTGGTCATGAACTTTCATTGATGATCCCAATATGATGTTCGGAAATGCTGATTTATACATTTGCTGCTTCTGGGAAAGAACATATAAACTAATAGTTATGGTCTAGTCTTGGTTACATTCAGAAGTTATTTGTATTCATGTTGATGTAATGCGTTTTATCCATTACTTGTTTGTTTTGTTAAACTTGAGCGGGAAGCCTCGTACTTGTGATGAGTGGTATCTTGCCAGGAATTTTGCTCAATATTTCAGGCAGCACGGCTTTGAAATATTTGTTTCCTGGAAGGTTGGTTTTTTGGCTGATGAATTGTCCTAATATTGGTAGGATTCTGGTAATGATAATATGAAATTTTGATTTGTTGCATTAGTTTTCTCTTTTTTGTCTCTGTTTATCTCATCAACCAAACCTTTATTTGCTATATCTAAGTGCTTATCTCATCATTACAGGTGTAGAAGAGAAGTCATTTGGCAAGGCAGTTAATGTTGACAATGATATTAGTAACTTATGCAGTTCACCTAGTCTTGGCTCTCACAACCAGATTGAGGGATCCTCTTTTAGTTTAGAGAAGCTAGATATCATCTCAATTGTTAATTTGGGTTGTTCACTAACTGAACTTCTTCAATCTGATGATTCTGGTTCTGTGGATTCTAGTTTTGTTAGAACTACTGCAATGAGCAAGTTGCTTGTATGGAAAGGTGACATTTTGAAGACATTGGAGGTGACTGAATCTGAAATTGATTCGCTTGAAAATGAACTCAAGGTGTTGAAATCACAGTCTGGAGACTTGTGCCCTTGTCCTGCTATCTCTTGTTCTTTGCTAGTTGAGGGCAAGGTGAATGCTGGTAAGGAGCAAGACTCTGCCTCTAGTTTGATCCAGCGACCTGCTCCCTTGGAAATTGATTCTTGTATGGATGTGGAAGTGGAGAAAGTGCCTGTTTGTAATGGTGCCTTGCAATCAACTCTTGTAGATGCTAAGAAAGAGGATATTGACAGCCCTGGAACTGCTACATCTAAATTTGTGGAACCTTTATCTTTGTTGAATGATGTGTCCCCACCTGAGATGGTAAAAAGTGCGGAATGTTCCACTAGTGTTGAAGCAATTGAACCTATGAATCCTGTTCCTTCCAGCAAGGAAGAGAATCATGCATCTGGTTGTGCTGATGATAGTTTGATTATGAACAACAAAGATGATGCACCTGTTCCTAGTGGTACCAATTTGTATGCTGATATATGTGATAGCATATTGGCCTCGAATAAGGAAGTTGCTAGTAAAGCTTCTGAAGAATGTAATAAATTATTGCCAAGCAAAAACTGTCATGTTGATGTCTTAGGAGCTACTTATATCTCTTCTTGGCAGGATAATCCGTTTATCAAAGAAAGATTTGCAAAAAGGAAACACTTTTTAAGATTTAAGGAGAGGGTTTTAACTCTTAAGTTTAGAGCCTTTCAGCACCTGTGGAAGGAAGATGTGCGGCTGACATCAATACGAAGGTTCCGTGCAAAATCTCACAAGAAATGTGAACTAAGTTTACGTACAGTGAATGGTGGGTATCAGAAGTATCGGTCCTCCATCCGCTCACGGTTCTCTTCCCCTGGTAAGAAATTCTTTTTGGTTCTTGATTTATCAGAATGTTGTTTTTCTTTATTGGTGGATTTTATCATTATACAACTTAGGTTAAGGTTAACTTCGTTCTTACTTAGAGGGCCTGCAAGCTTTAAATGCTGATATAATAGAGGATAAAGAACAATGATTTAGAAATATTTCATCTATGGCGTTTTGAAAATATTTTGGCAGAATAGGTAAATTGTGAAAAACATTAGATCTAAACAGGGCAAGCGAGTTCTGAGGCACAGATGGGGGGAGCAAGACATGGTGCAGCAGTGGCAGTTGGAAACTTACATTCATGTTGAGGTTAATTCTGAACTAGTGAATTTTGCGGGAAACCTAGAATAAACCAGGAGAATTCAAGTTCCATACGTTGAAATTTATGACTTAACATCTGGCTAGTTGTATCCAAATTGATGTCCAATTATTGACCGACATCAATCCTCATTTCGTTAGTAGGGTGAAGAATTTTGAAGGGTTTTCAAATTCTTGGCGGGCACATTGCAGTGAAATGTTTCTTGTTAGTTATTAAAGGGTGTCTTTTTTTTTTAAACTAGTTCAGAGTGGAAGTTAATTCTTCTTATCTTTCAGTATTATAAATAGAACAAGGTTATGAATCACCAACTAACTGGGTAATAAAATCATCCCATGAATGTTTTTAATTGTTTGAGAAGAGTAGGTTATAGCAGTATGAATCAACTGTCTCTTCACTTGGGAAAAAAATTCAAGTTAAATACCATGGTAATGTATATCACCTGATTCCAGTTGTGGTGCGAGGTACAGAGTTCCTATTGTATCTCAATAAGTCGTTGAATATTCTTTTAAAATGGTACACACTTGGCTAGTTATCTCTTCCCTGATTAAGCTACATTAACAGAGCTAAATAAATGTTGAGAACTATAGTTAATTGGTACTTCCTTGGCCTTTGTTAGTTTGTAGCTTCCAGGAATGAATGAGATATGAATATTTAGATTCAGAACTCCTGGGACAGATACAGTTGTGTTTTTTTTTTTAAATATAAGTGTAGAGATGTATTAGTGTGTTGGTGCCGGGGGGCACCACCCATTTACAAAAGATTTACAAGTCAATAAGCATATCTACAATGAGACCAGATACAGTTGTGTTTTTAGGATGGCTTAGATATGCATGTTGGTGTTTTTGTTGGATGGTTTAATTAATAGGTTCCAATTGATAACTATTCATGCCCTGGATTTGCTAGCTTCAACACCAAATGACTGAGAGCTCTCTAGGTGTATTTGGAATTTTTTTATAGTGATTTTTATATCACCTTTGTTGTAGTGATTATTGTAGTAACTACATTTCTGAAGTTATCCATCTCATGTCTCTTATTCACTTATATAGACTTAGTTCAAACGGAGAGTTTTCTTCACATCTCCTATGGCCTGGGTGACCTGCGTAATTCACTATTACTCTGTTTTTTCTGTTGCTAGCATTTTTTCATTTATTTTATGTACATTTTATTCACGACCAGTATGTATTTTATGTATTAGACTTGGAAATTAAAAGAGTTTTTTTTGGCTTTTTTAAGAAGAGGACATCAAAGCCTATGACACATTTTCTCTTTTCATTTCATTATCTGTCTTTGCAGCAGGAAATTTGAGCCTGGTACCTACCATGGAGGTAGTCAATTTCACTAGCAAGCTGCTCTCAGATTCCCAAGTCAAACATTACAGGGATGGTCTGAAGATGCCAGAATTAATTTTGGATGAGAAGGAGAAGGTATCATCAAGGTTTATCTCTAGAAACGGATTGGTTGAAGATCCATGTGCTGTTGAGAAAGAAAGAGCTATGATCAATCCCTGGACTTCAGAAGAGAGAGAAATTTTCATGGATAAGCTAGCCATTTTTGGTAAGGATTTTAGAAAAATTGCATCTTTTCTTGATCACAAGACAACAGCAGACTGTGTTGAATTCTACTACAAGAATCACAAATCTGATTGTTTTGGGAAAACAAAGAAGAAACTTGGTCTGACTGAACAGTGGAGGTCCTCTGCTACTACCTATTTGGTGCCTTCAGTGAAGAAATGGAATCGTGAGATGAATGCTGTCTCTCTTGATCTGTTAGGTGCGGCTTCAGCGATGGCAGCCCGTGCTGACAATGTCACTTGCAATCAGCAGATATCTTCTGGTAGGGTCTTTTTTAGAGGGCGCAGTGAGTCTAGGTCATCACGGCATGATGATAGCTTAATTGAAAGATCAGGAAGCTTTGATATTCTTGGGAATGAGAGAGAAACCGTTGCTGCTGATGTTTTAGCTGGTATATGTGGTTCCTTGTCCTCAGAGGCAATGAGTTCTTGCATAACGAGCTCTATCGATCCTGCTGAGGGCTGTCGGGACTCGAAGTGTCAGAAAATGGATTCTGCTATTAAACGGTCTTCGACATCTGATATTACAGAAAATGTGGATGATGATACATGTTCGGATGAGAGCTGTGGGGATATGGATCCTACCGATTGGACAGATGAGGAAAAATCTATCTTCATTCAAGCTGTCTCATCCTATGGTAAGGATTTTGTAAAGATATCACGATGTGTCAGAACAAGATCCAGGGATCAGTGCAAGGTTTTCTTCAGTAAAGCTCGGAAATGCCTTGGACTAGACTCGATACAATCTGTGTCTCAAAATGGAGGGACACCACTGAGTGATGATGTCAATGGAGGTGGGAGTGACATGGAAGATGCTTATATTATGGAGACTAGTTCTGCTATCTGCAATAATCAATTGGGAGCCAAAATAGACGAGGACTTGCCTTCTTGTGTCCTGAACATAAATCAGGATGAATCTGATACTGTGGGGACCATAAAGTTGCAGACGAATTTAAACAGCTCTAGTGAAGATAAACGGGTGGGCTTATCATCAGATCACAAGGAAGCTGAAGCATGTCAGACAGAAGATAAGCCTGATCTAGTCCTGGAGAATGGCAGCGATATCATGAACGTTACCTCTGCTGAGATGCTGTCTGCATCAGCTCAGCCCAGGAAAATGCGGTTGTTTTGACTGATACAGAGCTGAAGAGATCAAGTGGCTGAACGGCTAAGTTCTGATCCTG